CAGGTTTACTTTGAACAAATTTGATCCGCCCCTTGATTAAGTTTCAAAAGAGTTTTTTCTAGGAGAGATGATGCCAACTGGCCTGAGCGATAAAGTTGGTCGACAGGAGCTCGAGATTCTGATGAGTCAACCTCGTTACGCAATCGACGACGAGAATTGCGAAATCATTAAACTTCAGTCCTTGTTACTTGTGCAAACGATCTTTCGTAACAAATGGACAACGAAAGTGGAACGACAAAAATGAACAATTGCAACGCGATGCGGTGTCCTGAACACACAATTTCAATAAAGGATCAACACGAGGTTACAGATTGTTATGAAGTAACAGAGCAAACGGATACAAAAAAAGCAATACCAAAGACCTGAAAAAGTAACAGATGGCAAAACATCTTAAGTTGAAGGAAGAACGAGGCTAAAGCAATCAATTCCTCGCGATAAGCGCCCGAAAGGTCACTGACATCGGCGGAAAAACGAAAGATGGCGGGCGCCAGGCGCCGCATAGATCGCATCCTGGCAAAATGCCCGGGCGACGCGCCCTTTTCCCGAGGAAACTTAGACTCTCTTTGATTCACTCCTAGTTTTGACCTCGATGCTTTCTTTGGAGCAAAACATTACTCCAAGACTTGAAATGTCTTTGCTCCACTCAGTCAACAAGTGCTAACGTATTCTTTTGCTACTTTTGCCTGGAAGTATCTAAAATATCATTGAGAATTTCGGTCAAAGGGCTATATAGTTGGCTGATTTGAAGCTTTCCGTAAAACTGTTCCTTGTTTGCGAGATACAATGTGTTTAACCTGTAGTTCTTCGCATCCGTATAGGCGATAATTCAACGGACTCACACTTATTTTGCTTGCGACATGCAAGATCCACAACATATCATAATTGCTAACTCCGAAAGTTGAAGGTTAAGTTTGAGATTACTCGCATTTCAGAACGCATGCGAAACAAGCTCATTTTCTCGCTAAAAAATCGGAGAGAGATATTTATTTATATTTATATTTATATAAATGCATTACACAGTTGTAATGTGCCTTATCAATAAAAGAAACC